GTGTGTGAATGATAAGTAAGATTTATTACATCATGTTTATTAAAACACAGAAAACTATTTCCAACCATATTGATTTTCTGCTTCAGCTTGTTTAAGATATATTTTTTTAACTTCTTACATGTTCTGATCAGGCATGGCCAAAGCCTTGTTCACAATCTGAAGTATTTTATATCATAACTAGAGGCCTGGTGCACGAAATTCGTACACTGGGTCTGGGGGGGTGGGGGGTCCCCTCAGCCCGGCCTATGCCCTCTTGCAGTCTGGAAGGCCTCAGGAAATGTTCGACTGATGGCTTAGGGAGCGGGCCTAAGTTGGCAGTTGGACATCCTTAGCGCTCCCATGTAAGCTGGAGAGGCTCCTGCCATTGCAGCTGCGCTCGCCAGCTATGAGCCTGGCTTCTGGCTGAGCGGAACTCCCGCTGTGGGAGCGCACTGGCCACCAGGGGGCAGCTCCTGTGTTGATCATCTGCCCCCTGGTGGTCAGTGCACGTCATAGCAATTGGTTTATCTGCCTTAGCATATCATTAGTATATTACACTTTGATTGGTTGAACGGACAACTGGACAGCCAGGCACTTAGCATATTAGGCTATTATTATATAGGACTAGAATCCCGATGCATGAAATTACTGCAAGAGTAGGACTTCCTTCCCCCGGCTGCCGGCACCGGCTTCCCTCTGACACCCAGGACCTGGGCATCCCTACGGCTGCCAGCAAGTACCCGGTACCCCGGCTTTCCTCCAGTCACCAGCAGGCACCCGGGACCTGGGTTTCCCTCACAGAGGGAGGCCCTGCTCACCCGCCACAGCCCACTGGTCAGTGGCCTGGGCCTCTCTCTTTGGGGTGATTGTGGAGCCCCCCGATTGATTGCCCTGCAGGCCGGTGGCCTGAGCCTCCCTCTGCGGAACGATCATGGGGTGATGGCCGGGCCTCCAACCAATCACATTGCACCCACCTTGGCTGGCCTGGCGCCAGTGGGTGTCATAGCGTGGTCCCGGGTGGTCGTCCAGGTCGTCCGGATGGTCATTCCGCTGTTCGGTTTGTTTGAACCAGCATCAATACAAACATATGTGTAATGCATTTCATGTAATGTTATCGTAGCTACAATGTAACTAGGTAATAGGAATTTTCCTGCTCTATTGTGCTTTTATGGGACCACCATTGTATATGTGGTTTATCATTGACTAAAGCACTGAAGCATCTTTATGCAACATATGACTATATACTTTTTTTTTTTTTTGGATTGTGTCCCATAAGTCCAGTAGGCTTTTTTTACTTGAAATTTTTTGTATGCCTCTGACTACATAACTCAAATTATCTGTCATTAAGTTCGTTGGTTCTTGCTTTTGAATGTTCTAGTCTGTTGTTGAACCTCTCTAGTGGATTTGCAGTTCAGTCATTGTATTATTCTGCTCCAGCATTTCTGTTTGGTTCTTTTTATGATTCCTGTCTCTTGGTTAAACTTCTTATTTGTACATGTATTGTTTTCCTGATTTAGTTGAGTTGTGTATCTCTGTTCTCTCTCTTTTTTTATTGATTTTTTTACAGAGAGGAAGGGAGAGGGATAGAGAGTTAGAAACATCAATGAGAGAGAAACATCGTTCAGCTGCCTCCTGCATACCCCCCTACTGGGAATGTGCCTGCAACCAAGGTACATGTCCTTGACCAGAATCGAACCCGGGACCCTTCAGTCTGCAGGCCGATGCTCTATCCACTGAGCCAAACTAGTTAGGGCTCTCTGTTTTCTCTTTTCTCACTAAACTTTTTAAAAATGAATTTTGAATTATTTTGATTTTTCCAAGGCAATTATTAAATCTGCATTTCTTTGGGAACAGCTACTGGAGTTTGTTTTGTTTCTTTGGTGATATCATATTTCCTTGATTCTTCAGGTCCTTTGAAACCTGACACTGTTATATTTACATTTGAAGAAGCAGTCACTTCCTCAACTCTTTCCTAACTAGCTTCAGGGAGCCAAGCTAGAGATACTTTAGTCTCTCAGATGTTTTTTTTCTATCAATGCTGCTGCCCCATTCCTCTTGTTCCCCTTGAGGGGGAAATCTTAGACTGTGTGCCTTCTCTTGATACCACAAACCCAGGCTGGGTGCTGGGAGCCTCCTACTAATTTCCCCTAGGGTAATGCCCTGAAGTGTTTAATGTTGTGTACTCTCTGCCAATCTAAAAGATCCAGCTGGATGCTAGTATTTATATGCTGTCTGTGGAACTTGAGTACATCATCTGCAGGGGATTATGGGGTTGGCTACAGCAGGGTGTGGTGCATGAAGTGCTGGGGGTGTACACCACCTACTTGTAGAGTCTTCAGTTAGGGGTCCTACTGGATTTGATGATGGGGCTCTTGCTGGAATCTGCTATACAATTAGTAGGATCTGCTGCTGGTTGAGATCCATGTATTGGTTGCTGTGAGCTTCTACCCTTTTCTCTGCTCTTCCCTATCCTAAAATTATTCAGCTGTTCCAGTCCTCTCAATGTTATGGGTGAGAAGAGATGGAAATGGGCTTCTTGGGCAGCATCCCACAAGTCTGGGGAAGAGGAGTGCTCACTTTGCCCTCACTTTCTCCCATGGGGAAATACTGGCCACCACAGTCTCTTTTGGCCTTGGAAGAGGGATGACTGTTCTTATCCTTGTCAGTGCTTCTATTCTTTTATTTATTTTTTGCTCCACTGGTGTGCAGGAACCTCTCAGCTATACTCCCAGGCTTTCTTAAAGGCATTCTCATTCATAAGTCATTGTGAAACCCGGTTTCTGTGGGGGTATGAGGTATGGATATTCTTATTTCATCATCTTACTGAAGGCCTTAAGAGATAGTTATTAATTTCAGCAGGTCTCAAACACCCAGTGGTATTTCATAGGACATTCAAGTTACTTTTAAAAAAACATACCTTTTTATTGATTTGATGACAAGGTTAGTGAAAACTGTTATTGAATGGGAATAGGAGGACAGTAGTCAAAGAGGAATCAAGAGGCATGTGTGGGGGTGTCAGATGTCAGAGCAGGCCATGGTTTCAGTGCAGATGAGCCTGGAAAATCTTAAATGTCATGCAAGTGAAAATCCAAAGGCTAGAGAGTTTGAGGAATGGCCCTATAGAGCAGGAAATGATATGACTTAATCCTAGAAGAGAGTCTGTTTTCTGACATAAAATCATGTCCTGAAATTACTAGTTTCTTCTTGCAGTTATTATAGGTGAGCAGATTTGAAGTTTAATTAACTTTTTGTATCATTACAATGCTGGAGACATGTTAACTGTTCCTGTCACTTCTGATTGCATTTGAGCAATCAAAGCAATTCTGTTGCCCTCAGTGTCTTTTCTTAGTGATGATATCACAGTGGAGACATTTTCAAACAAGATTTTAATTGGATTAATTATTGTTATGGACATTGGAGTGGAATGTGTGTACTAAGTTAGTGAGCCAAAGGAAGATACGGTAAAAATGACACGTGAAATAAGGAGGTAGATTTAAATGTAAGTGAATCCTTGACTGATGGCCAAGCCCATAGTTGGATTATTGTCTCATCTAAAAGATTATGCATTGGATAACAAAAATATTAAATCTGGCATTTGTAAACTTTATTTCCTTTTTGAAACTAAACTGAGTTTAGTTTGAATAGAAACTGAGTTTATATTTTATATTCTATAATATGTGAACATTACGTAGTACTAATATTTTTTTTCTTATTGCTTTAAAATTATTTCTGTTTCTGTAATAATTTTCTCCTCCTAGCCTGTTCCTGGAATTATAGCTTTTAAAATTTAATCCTGACTACTTTTGATTCCCAGATATTTATCATAATGTAATATAGTGCAATGATCAATTTAAGATTTTATACACACACATACACAATATACATAGAACTCTCTCTACATATGTGTATATTTAAAATGTAATTATATGATTATATACTCTAAATATCAATGATGTTTATTGTGTGTGTATAGACTTATACATGCACACACATTTGAAATCTTCATTGTCAACTATATACTAGTATTTGAAGATTATTATATGTATCCATTTTATGTTAAGGATTTTTCATAGAGCTTTTATTCGATACTAACTCTTTCTCTAATTGCCACATTATGCCTAAACTTTGGAAAAGCTTCCTCTCTGTTTTAATAAAGAATCCCTAGACCCTCACACCTTTCATCTTTTCTTCAGAGACTATAGATTATCTTGACTTCTTTTGCTTGGAGACTTATATCTAATGGAAACCTTAAAAATACCATGCCAATTTTCAATAGTAGGAATAGCTGGAAGTTATAATAGATCAACAGAAAGATGGAGTCTTACTTTTTCAATAAATAATTACAATTCAAAATTCTTTTTGATATGTTAGTGTTAAAGTTAATTAGAGTGTATGATTTATAGTAAGGTGTAATGACATGAATATTGAATTAGATATTATTAGACCTGGATATTTGTCTGAACTTTACCATTATTTTCTCAGTGACCTTGGGTGAAACAGTCTTAGTCATTTATCATCAATTTAACAATATCTTTGCTGCCCACTTCTTTATAGTGTTGTCAGGGTTTGATTATATATGTGAAAATATTATGTGAACAATGAAGTTCTATTTAAAGGTGAGTATTGTAAATAATAATGTGCCACGCACTGTATCAAGCATTCACATTGTTCTTACAAAATGAGGCACACAATGTTAATATTAAAACTTTACAGATCATGAAGGTGAGGCTCAGAGTACCTAAGACCCCTGAGTTAGCTCACACTGTTGATGAGCGGGAAAGGCAAGATTTGAACACAGATCTGTCTGATATTAGAACCAGTGCTCATAATTGTACAGTTTTTGTCACTCCCCTGAAGAATTATTGCCACATAGAATTATGCGTAAACTGAGGGAGGCAGTAAAAATGCAATTTTCTTTATTACCACATCTGACTTCTGAAGCTGAAACCAAAATGATATTTATTTTTCTTAAAAATAGGATGTTATGAAGTTCTAACCATCCAAATGTGTTTTGCCTTTAGAATTTAATTGTCTTGGATCCACTGACAGTGACTGAGGAGGAAATCAGACCATCCCTAGAGCAACGCCTTGAAGCCATCATCAGCGGGGCTGCTCTGTTGGCCGACTCTTCCTGCACGAGGGATTTCCATCGGGAGCGGATCATCGCAGAGTGCAACGCCATTCGCCAGGCTCTGCAGGACCTGCTTTCCGAGTACATGAACAACGTGAGTAACTGTTTCCCCCATTCTGTACATCGGGTATGTGCCGAGTTTCTCTGTAGAACATGTGATAAATGATAAATAAGTGTGTGATTTTCCACAGGTTGGCTTGCTGAGTGGGTTCTGCTCAGGGTGCTCACAGGGTGTAGCGGCGAGATTGGATTTTCTAGGGATGGAATCTAACCAGAAGGTTGTTGACATTTGATTGCTTTGTTTGAAATAGTAACTAAATATTAGTTGAAGAAGGGATTCAGGACTGGAGAAGGGAACGTGGAGCTGTCCATCAATTTAAAGGATAAAAAGGTTAAGAAAAGGACCATCTTCTCAGACTGAAGTTGGTGAATATCAAAGTCAGAATTTAGATAGTATCGGATGAAGTCATTGTTGCGGGGATCGGGGACCATTTTTTGAAGATGTAAAAGAGCTCATTTAGTTCGGATGGCTCGTAACCCTTTTCAAATGTTACGAGTTGTGGCAGTTTTAACTATCTTTTAGGAATATTAGGAATGCTGTCTAAATTTAGACAAATGCACAAATGTTTCAAGGTCCTTTTGCTTTCAGATTTTATGTATTCATATATTATATATTCATTCCATATATATATATTTTACATCCATCTGTGGAGTCTTACATTCAAATCTTAGTGCCATTTTTAAAATGAAGGAAGTCTTCATTGTCAACTGTGTATTGATCATGAAGCCTTTTTACATAGAAGAGCTCAACAAAATGAAAGGTTTATAATTGGAATGTTTTGTTGATCTGCCTTATCATAAATGGAATAAAAATAGTTTCAAAACATCACTTTTTGAATGTGAAACTGAAGAATTGGGATTGTTCAGTATAAGTAATTTATTTGAAGAGTTGGTATGTGCTAAAATTAGTGAGTTTTAAGGACTTTTCAGAATGCTTGATATAGCTCCTTGTTCTTAATATTTGATGACTTTGGCACCTGACCAACAATCTCTTGTTTGTCTAGAAATCAGAGTTGTAAAGTACATTATGTTAATAAGAACATTTAATAGTGTCATGTCCTGCTTCTTAAGCTAGAATAGCCCCATTTTTAACATACAATATATTCTTAAAGGTTCTTTAAGGGAATGCATCCTTTATAAAAAACTCAGAAGGTTATATTGTATTGGAATTTCTTCTCTCCTGATCTGTGTACTTGTACATTATATTCACCTTTATAGACCAAAATAGCCTGAAGTTACATATAAACTTATTTTATACATAAATATATAAAATTATAGATATAATTATTTTACCACATATAGATTAAGTTATTTTATTCTTTTAGATACAAACACAAACAGATGCACATGCACATACTCATACACATATATAGACAAGGATGGCTACATAATTGTAGAGCCCAGTGCAAAACTGAAAATGCAAAGCCTGTTCAAAAGCGGGGTTGGAGTGAGGGGGTGGGAGCACCTTTTTCCTTTATTCACAGTCTCAGTTGACATGAGAAAGTTATTTTTATTTGCTATTTAGTGTTAAGTTCTCTAGAGCATAGGGATACTTGTGGGAGCATGCAGACCCTACAGGTGTTTGTGTACTTGACCTATAACCCCAACCCACCCTGACTGTGCCAAGGACCCTACCAGGAGTGAATGGTGGCAGCAATCACTGGGTGGGAGAATAGGCTGAGGACCTCTGCCTGCATGTGAGTCTAGGGTACATGCTTCATTGCCCCATGGGACTTTGCTTAATACACAACTTCAAAGGTAAAGGTGTTAAGAATATGAACACTGTGGTAGCAGAACATTAAAAACCAAAGGACGTGTGTACATGCATACAAGCATAACCAATGGACACAAACAATAGGGGGGCGAGGGCCTGTATTGGGGGGACAGGAGCTGGCTGGGAGAGGTCAATGGGGGAAAAAGGAGACATATATATATATAATATATATATAATACTTTCAACAATAAAGAATTTTTAAAAAAGCCAACGTAGGCCTTTTTGAGCAGAGGGCTCTGTTCACAGCCCCCTGAAGCTGGTTCTGTACATAATAAACATACGTCACACAAAAATAGCAGTGGTTTTATGGTTTCTTCCACTTTGGCTTACAAACTATTTGGGTTGAAAACTATTCATACCAAAGGTGAAGTTATGGGAGCATTCTGCCTAGGGTGCAATCATGAAGAAGGTACAATGTTTCTAGAAATTTATAAAACCAACTAAAAGTCAGTCTGCTTTATATTATCACCATGTACCACCAATTCTAAATGTCACTGGTAAAATGTTTTCCACATAATTCTTCTAAATTCTAAGCAATTGGCTATAGTTGTTGTTTTAATAATATGTGTATATAATTCAAATTAGCACACTTTAATGACTATCCTTTAATAAACAGTATAGTCTTTTTGCACTGAAACAGCAGATTCAAAATTGACAGGGATGACACAATGATTACAAAGACAAAGAACTGGAGTTTCTTTAATTCTGTTATTTTATGTGATCACGGAGGTTTGTTTTTAATTTAAAAATTATAATCATGGAACTGAATTCTGAAGGATAATATTTTTGTTAGGTAAGTGTAAGTTTCATTCATGAAATATTTCATTGAATTTGAGTTATAACTTTGAAATGTATTCTCTTTTTGAAAATTGTCTATCGCTTTAAAGTTAAAGAAAAATTAGGAAAATAATGATTATTTGAGATTATTATGGAAGTGTAGTTTTGTTATGTAGAGGAGAGAGATGTTTAAAAAGGATGGACTCCCGGTATCAAATATGCCAAGTAAGGTACTGAAAATAGGTTTGCACTTTTCTATGTCTTCTTGCTCTTTTACTTATTGAGGATTTAATCTCATGTTCAGTTTCAAGGAGTCAAGTACACAAAACTTATGTTACTAATATCTTTCTGTTAGATATTTTCATTTTAAAACAAGGTAAGTTCTGTGTTAGAAGAGTGAAGTGGAAAGCGACTTTTTTTGTTTATAATAAATAACGCAGATGAAAGGTAAGTAGCTTTTTTTAAAGCTTGTCCAGATCATTATCTCAATTTTATCATTTTTAAGGGCAAACTTAATTGTATAAACCCAAATATTTCTTGGTTATTTAGTTGATTAAATTGCATTACTATTTATACTTGATGGTGGTTGTTTTCTTCTTTCTTCCTCCTTCCCCCATGTTTTCTCTTCTCCCCTCTGGCAAAGAAGGGCAAACACCCCGGCAATATCTCTCTCATGCCATTTCCCCCTCTAGAGCTCTTATCCCAGATGGGATTCCTCTGTTTGCTTGTCTGCCTGCTCCACTAGCCAGGAGCCCTAGGAGAGTGGGGACTGTGTTCCTGGTGCTTAGCATAGCAGGTGCTCAGTAATTATCATTGGGATACAGGTAAATGGAATTTAGTGCTTGCTGCTCCTCAGTCTTTTAAATTAAAACGACCACATGCCTGAAGCAATTAATTTGAAGTTTATTTACTGTATTTATATGATAAGTGTGGAGAAAACATGGAGGGAGGGTTCATGGTGAGAACAGGAACAGAAGAGAGGAAAGAGCAGAGTTGAGGGGATGTTCTTTGGGTGACCTAAGAATACTTATATATGCCTTTCTCTTAGAGCAAATGTCAAATACTTGTTGAGGAAGGCATTTTTTTCCCTTTGGAAAGAAAAGACATTGTGTGTGTGATGAATTGTTCTGATGATTTGTTCTGATGTTGGTGTAGAAGTCAGAGTGGGAGGAGCTAAATTTATGGTGGTCCACGGGGTCAGATGCCCATTCATTCACACATCATGGAAACATTTCATTGATGAGTACAACCTATTCATTATAAAAAAAAATAAACTTACAGTACTATGAAAAAGCACTCCAAAAGCAATGTAATAGTTTCTTTTCATGTAAAAATGCAGAATTTTACGCCTAATACTAGTGCCTGACTGAGCTAATGAATATTAGAATTAAAAGCAAGAACCAATCTGGAAAACTGTGGAATAAGTGATCAGAACATATTTCCAGGTTTATTTTTACTCTTGGTTTATATCACAAAAGATGTTCCCCTATCACTGTTTCATCATCTTTAATGAAAGGAAATGTACTTTCCTGGGGTACTACCTGAACTCAGACTTTCTCGGTTCTCTCAAAGATTTTAGGACAGCTCCTGTACTTAAGTCCTCAGCTTCCTAATTTAAGGAATATTGTTTCTCTTTTGTTGGACCTGGTTTGCTTTTCCAATTAGCAGCTTTTGTAATTGAGCTATACCGATAGAGTAACTACTTGATGATAATTCAGCTACAATAAAGATAATCATAAACACTTAAAGCAGGAATAATACTCATCAAAATCTGTAGATCTCTTATGTGAATGTGGTTTCAAGGCTTCAAATTTTGCAGGTGTAAGGAGCCCAGAGAAGTGGGAAATAAATGCAATTTGTGTTTTTTTCAGACTCAATTCACATGACCAGTTTGAGTATAACTTTACCTCCTTAAACAGATCAGTAAGTCTTAATCATTTTAAAAATATATATTTCATTGATTTTTTACAGAGAGGGAGGGAGAGGGATAGAGAGTTAGAAACATGGATCAGCTGCCTCCTGCATACCCCCTAACTGGGGATGTGCCCGCAACCAAGCTACATACCCTTGACCGGAATCAAACCTGGGACCCTTCAGTCTGCAGGCCGACGCTCTATCCACTGAGTCAAACCGGTTAGGGCTCAATCATTTTTTTTTCACTGAAGCTATTATTCAGTAAGTTCATTGTCTTGTCACATTGGTAAGAAATTAGTAGGAAATGAGACCAGATGGGTCAATAACAAATAAAACAGACAACCACTTAGAAGTTTTAATGATTATATATGTTTGCCCTAATATTTTTCTTCTTTTAAATTTGTGTATATATATATATTATATGTGTCACAATAGACCTTTCTATTGCTACTGTAACAAATTCCCACAAACTTAGTGGCTTACATAACACAGATTATTATTTACAGCTCTGTGGGTCAAAGTTGGACACAAGTCTCTCCGGGTTGAAAGCGGAAGTGTCTGCAGGGCAT